AACTTATTACAATTCCTGTAGTAGGTATCCTGATGTTATATGTTTCGAGAAAGATAGAAGATCGCGCCAAACTGGGATATAGCTCTGGAGTCTGTGGTACGAGCTCTATATGTTTTCGCGCGCAACGGATTGGATGCTCATGTTCAGCGAGTCAAACTAGGACATGCGCGATAATAGTCCACATGACCAGAAGTTGAATCGGGACAAACCATTTCAAAACGTTTTATACAGTGCTGTCCAATAACTCTGGGAACCGAGAGCTTTGAAAACCCTCAATGGCCAGAGAAAACTCTTCCATTTTGATGCGAGTATCTAACCTAGTTGGTCGAAAACTATTGGGCCAACTATCCGAATACCGTCAACAATGATCCGAAATGGATGAGTGCTTTAGATAAATGAATGTAAATGAGCAGTATAGTCTCAGTACATTAGGCTCACACGAGAAGCGCTATACAATGGCTGGCTTCCCTATCTGAACATCAGGGTGAAAGTATCTGATGGCATGCTCAGTAAGAAATGGTACAGCAAAGCAATCACAAAAAAACGTCGTGTTGTGCCACTCGCGCTCACGCTTCTAACGAAACTCACATCGAGAGCCTGGGAGAACTCCAGTTGTACGTGTCAAAAAACATTGAGGTGGTAAAAGACGCGAACATACGATAACTTCTCGGCAGGCATTCGATCAAAGAGCAGAGCGGAAACTGTGAAAAGCGGAATTCTGGCTTCTGTAAATTTCATTTTCATCGACTGGATCCATTAGTGTCGTCGATGTTCGCTAGACCGTCTCTAACAAGTTACGTTCACACTTCAAAACTCAAACGAGTGGAACAAAGCGCGATCCACCACCAATGTTATTGCTGTGCATTTCTAATATATCCTTGTTTAGGAAATTTTGTATTCTGTTTGTTGTTTCAACGTCAAAGTAGATCCCCCTTTCATCAAGTGGCCTGCTCGCAGTGTCCAGGAGCGTTTGCACACCTAGCACCTTCGTTTTCTGAACAAGTGCGAATAAAATGCTGTTGGTTTCGACGATCTACAAACTGCCGTAACGTTTGTCTCTGCACCGTGCCTACGAATGACTAGAAAACTCGAAATCGCACGGCTGTAGGTCGGGCGAATGAGGCCATCGAGCCCAGGTATCAGTACGGTTTTGTTTCCAAGCGCTGCGCAATATTTAGGTAACACGGGGCTTGGCACTGTGACGAGCAATGGTGGCCTTCTTGTAGTTGTGTGGTACCATCCATTTGTCGATCTGATTGCCGAGGAACAGGCAATATACACCGACAGCGACGATTTTGTTCTCTGTATAGAGCCGCTTGAAAGCCACAGTGCAGAACTCTATTGTCATGATTATTCGCTTAGTCTACGCGTTTCCTGATGACAGGACTCGGGCTGCTTCTCATCTGCATTCATACAAAATTGACGATTGTGAGTTTCGGCTCGAGGTCCGAGACCACCCATATTTCATCTAGGCAGCGGTGCGTTTTCACAGTCGTGAGTGACGTATCAGATGGAGAATGTTGCGCGGGCATCCAATCGGTTCAGTGCTCCTGCTTCCACAATTAAATGAGCACTTAAACAGACACCCTCTCGACCATGCTCAAGTTTTCCGGACATAGTTCCACAGCTCGAGGCAGCAGGAGTGTCGCGGGTAACGGTTTCCTCCTCTGTGTTTGAACGTTCGGTGTTAGACTTCATCCACTCACTTTTCTTGGACAGGATGAAAGTATGGTGCTTCCCCGGTCAACTCTTTTCGTCGTTCTTCCTTCTTTGAAGTCTGAATCAAATTTTCCACACTTCATTTCGAGAACACCATTACACGCAACTATTGGTCCAACACAGGAGGAATCTGAGCGGCTCACTCGTATGACGCCCGGTCCACGATGCGGTGCTGCTTTTGATCCCTTGAGCTTTGGTTTCCTGCCATCCCTCTATATGTCTTTAACGTTTTTGAGTGGGATGACCTGATATCTTGAATGTTAGGTCATCTCATTCACTTCACGCAACTGGCAGTCCAACAATAAGAAGCGGTGCACGATCAGTCGCAGCACGTGAATCTCAAATGGGATTGAATTGCTCGAATCGCAAAGGAAAAACGTTTCAATTGAACAGCAAATGTGAACCACGGTCGAAGGAAGAAAGGCCTAGCAGTTCCAGATGCGCTGAAGTTGCATGAGCTGCTGATGGAAGCGACAAATGGTAAGATTAGTCTGAACATACTCTTCAAGGATCCTACTATGTTTATTTGCTTATCATGCACGCATAGCTGCGCTACAATGTCAACAGGTTCTCATAGTGCACAAAAAGAAACATCCAAGTAGTATATAAAAGAAGACGGAACAAAAAAAATACAGCAGCACAAAT